TTATTAATGGTTATGATGAAATGATCTGGGCGGGTCCAGGCACCATCAGTGTACCTGGTCATTGCTGTGATTATGCCAAAATCGTGGGTCTGATTTCCCTTTCTTTTCTTTTTGAGATCGATGAGGATGAACCCTTATTTTTGAGTTTGATTGAAGATCTCTTCCCAAATATTCTTCTGGACAAGGCAGGCTACCCTGAGCTGGAGGCGGCAATTGATAGGCAGGTAATACATTTCACAGGGCATCAAGTACCCCGTCTGTCTCACCTGGGTCTCAGGGAATCAGGTGGAGCTAGTGCGGCCCAAATCTGTGGGTTCCAGGAACAACACCCGGGGCTGTGACTGCTGTCTTTGTGAGTGTATGTGACCAGAGTATATTTTAATATTTATTGCCAATGACTATAGTAATATATAGAATAAATACATTCAATTTCAATAAAAATTGCTATGTAAGTTGCACAATAGCGATTTCTGCTATTCATGTACAAGGATTACTTGATTATATTTTCAGGGAATAGAGTAAAACAAACCTCAGAATGTGTAAATTCTATTTGTTGGCCTAAGACCTGATTGGATGTGATGACAGTGTTAAGAGAGGCTGTTGCACCCCAGGATAGAGCTCTTCCTGCCGTTGCACAACCTCACGTCCAGTGGCCACGTGCTAGCGGCCCTGGTACTGATGGAAACCAGATTCTAAAATGAGATGCGATGGGCCAGCAGGGGCGGGCAGGGCTGGCTGATGCCTGCCCTTGCCGGTGTGGCTCTGTCGGTGTCATATGCAGAGATCTCATGTGGCCCCGCAGGTATCATCTTTCCCTCCCACAATCACTTGTGATTCCTTCCTGGGCTCTGGGGGAGTCTGCTGCGTATCTATATCATTAGGTGTCTAGATTTCCCATGATACTTGTACAGCTTTAACTTTTTATGGTCTCCTAAGAATGGAAGTGAATTATGTAAATCTTGTGCCTCAATTTCCTTTCCTAGGAAGAAGAGCTGGGGGAAAAATTTCATAGAAATGGTGATTAGCTCATATTTATAAAACACATTTAAATTCCTTGAAGATATTTGTAATAAAAGTGAAATATGGTAGCATTAAATAGATATTTTGCTTTAAAAATCAATATATAAAAGTTTTAATCTTTTTTTTTTATCAGGTAAGAATGACATTCGTTTTGCAAATGGTTTCTTTATCAAGTGGCCTAACTGACTGTAGCATTACCTAAAAAGCTAAGTATAAAGTAATTTGTAAGGTGAGTTGCATTAGTACTTTGTAGCATGCGAAAAAGCTGGAGTATATACATAGTGTAAAGTGACACATGATGATTAATCAAAATTATTTAAGTAAAAATAAAAGCATTATTTATAGTGCATTTAAGCATAGGATTCTAGTTAAAAGCATGGGCTGTGGAGCTCAAATCCCCACCTCATAACTTTACAAATATTAATCTTGGTCAAGTTACTTCATCGCTTTGTGCCTCAGTTTCCTTATCTGTAAAATGAAGATATCCATAGTACCAATCTCATATTATTGTTTTGAAGATTAAACTTAGGATAGTTTGGCACAGAGTAACTTCCATACATGTGTTTGATAGATAAAAACTACCCAGTGGACTTACAAAGAGCTTGACGTTTACATGGAATTTCAGTCAGCCTGGTGTGCTAGAAATGTTTCCAGTAATTAAATGTTATCTTTTAAATTAAACATTTAAAATACATTTCATACTTGAGTCTTTATTCTTCAGTTGCTCTTAAGATGTACATTTAATAAAATGTTAATATAAATGCATCCAATTCCCAAAGACAAATGCAGATGTTTCTTATTAGCTTGCTGTAACATTTGATTATATTCAGCCTGCTTTTTGTTGTGTACATATATTCTTTTATGCAATATATATTTTTATTGTGATAAAATACGTAATATAAAATTTACCATTTTTGCCATTTTAAGTGGACAGTTTAATGGTATTAAGTACAGTCTCATTATTGTGTAAACATCACCACCATCCATCTCCAGACCTTTTTTCATTTTCTAGAATGAAACTCCATACTTATTAAACAGTAGCTCCCCATTCCTCTACTCCCCCCCACACACACACTCCATGTCCTGTGCTTATTTCGAGCACATTGGTAAGCCCGGCTTGCTGTTGATGTGGCTCACTGTAGGGTTTTTGTTATGTTTTCAGGTGGAAGAAGCTGGTTTAATCAGCCATCCTCCTTGGAAACTGAAAGTCATCCAGCTGTTTGAAACACAGAGAGTGCGGCATGGAATGATGACCCTGGGGCCTAGTGGAGCAGGGAAAACCACCTGCATCCACACCTTGATGAAAGCCATGACAGGTACGGGGCAGCCAAGCTGCGTTGCTCTGGGTGACACATTTAAATAGTTGTGGCACAGTTGAATGCCCCAAGAGGAAACAAAGGTAGATACATGAATATATTTTTATAGGAGAGAATGCTGCTTTACTGACAATTGGGTACATTTGAGAGAGAACATATTACATTAATGGACTACCGGGGGAAAACATTTCTTTCCATCTTTACTGAGATATAATTGACAGATATCATTGTGTAAGCTTAAGGTGTACAAAGTGTTGATTTGATTCATTTATAAATTGCAAAATGATTAACACCATAGTATTAGCTAATAGCTCCATCACATACATAGTTACGATTCCTTTTTTTTGTGGTGAGAACATTTAAGATCTACTCTCTTAGCAACATTCAAGTATATGATGCAATATTATTAGCTGTAATCATATGCTATATATCAGATTCCCAAATTTGTTAATCTAATAACTGGAAGTTTGTATCTTTGACTAATGTCTCCCCACTTCCACCCCCTGCCCCCAACTCCTAGGAATCACCACTCTGTGTTTCTGTGAGTTTGGCTTTTTAGGTTCCACATGCAGTAAGTCCTCGCTTGGAAACTGACTTTAAGCAGAACGACATAAAATGAAAACAATTTACCATAGGCTAATTGATCCAAGCAAGACTTAAATTCCCATGGCATATGTTAACTATACATATAAATTAATTTTCACCTGGAAGCAGATATTTTTCTAGGGAAGTTAAACAAATGCACTTAATTTCCAGATATCCCTAAGCCTCACATCGAAGTCCCTAGCCTGAGGTCACCTGGGGATAATGGTCATTGCCATGTTCATGATTATTCTTGTATTCTCTGGTTCTGATTGGACATTGATGACTCTCTTCCTAAGAGTATCAGCAGCCCTTAGCTGTGCCAGAGTTGAATTCCAAAATTTCACAGAACTTTGGTTGTGGGAATGCATCATAACAGGAAACTGAAAGTCAGTTTCCATAACAGGGAAAGGTGCTGCTTGGAACCCCAGTGCGCTGATACTGAGTTGCTGGTTGCTGGGAATTGCCTGTATTTATTCTAGGGTCCTGCACACGTTAGATTTAGTCTCAGTTTTCTCAGCTGTGGAATGAAGTGAATTCTGAGCATCAAAGTTCTATCTATTGGGTTTTCACACCGACACAGGACTATGCTCTCAGCTAGCACCTAACTCCACCAAAACGGAGCTCACACCTGCAGGGCTTATCACGTGGTTTTCAGTGTGCGGTTAATAGTTGGGATTTTTACATAGCTTTAAAATGATGTGTTCTCCCTTTCAAATTATGCTTAATACATTTGTTGTTGTTATAAAACCGCCTTCTGTTAACTACAGGTGCACCTGGTACAATGACGAACAAAATGAGCACTAAATATTAAACTGTGCAGAAACATTATGTATAATGTGTTTGGATAATTTGTATGGCATCACTGATGTTGGAAAAGCTCTTTGCAAAGTTGAATTAATCTTTAGACTGTTTGCTGTTTATTAACTTGTGCTTGGTTTTAGTATTTCCTGTTTATTATCCTGTTCTTAGTTTTAATAGGTAGGCAAACGTTCGTTATCTTAAGTAAAACATCATTTCTTGCTGAAAACTTTAATTATCCAAAAGATTGAGAACATAATTGGGCTGACCTTCTACTGAAGAAGTGCAAGACCCATGTATGTTATTTGTTCCCTTATTCCCCATTATTTTTTCATTAAAAAATACTTGGAGGTTTTGCTAGGTTCTGCACTAGAAATGGGAGAACAGGTATGAAAAAAAAAGGACATGTCTTCAAGGAGCTTACAGTGTAACGAGTTACAGACATAGGCACAGATTCTTAACAGTCAACTTGGCATCACTATGAGGAAAATTTAGATAATTACTTTGTGAGCAGAGGTGAAGGACAGCAGAATCTTTTCCAAGGAATTATGGGAGGGCTTACCGAGCAGGTGCTACTGCATCTGAGGTTGGAAGGCTGGGTAGCAGGTGGATAAGAGGCATTTTTAGTGCAAGGAAGACTCTGCAGGAAGAAGGGACTGGGGACTGCACGATATACCCAAGGAAGTCCATTGACATGAAGAGAATGTAATTGCGTGTGGGTGGAAGTGGGGGAGATGAGGAGGTATAGCAGATGCTATTGGTGCCCAATGCTGTCCCTTTGGCCTGACCCTGCTATAGATGTGGCCATTGGACAGTTTCTCCCCTCAACACCAGAGGTTTCTCCCAGTTTTTCAGCTTTATGACTTTCCTTGAAGCTATGGACCTGGCTCAGCCTGGAAATAGGGGTCGGTGAGAATTAATGTATGAGGCAGCCATACCCTCAACCAATGGGGGAGAACAGTTGATGGCAGATATTCCACCCGGTGCCTTTTAGAGGGACATTGTTTCTGTGACCAGCTCAGCAATGTACCCTTCTCCCTTTCCAATTATGCTTAATACGCTGACGCCTCTCCTTTCCCATCTCATTCTCTTTCCCCTGACTACCCACCAACTCTCAGCACCCACGTTATTGTCCCTGGCTTTGCTTCCAGGGGATTTCAAATTAGTACTGTAGATGTGGCATGAGGAGTTTTGTAAGTCATACTCAATATTTAGGTTTTATGCTGTAGGTGATGGGAAGCCATTGAGCTGGGGAGTGGTGTCATTAACCCTGTGTGTAGAAGACCATCTGCTGGCCGAGTAGAGAGTAAACTGAGGAACAGGCGGCTGGTCTGGTGCCCATAAGAAGGTGACAGCAAGAAAAGGGTGCCTACTCTACGGCAGAGGCCATGAAAGTGGAGTGATTAGGTCACTCAAGAAATGCCTAAGGGGAGAATTGCAGTGGTTCTCAACCTTCCTAATGCCTCGACCCTTTAATATAGTTCCTCATGTTGTGGTGACCCCCAACCATAAAATTATTTTCGTTGCTACTTCATAACTGTAATTTTGCTACTGCTATGAATCGTAATGTAAATATCTGATATGCAGGATGTATTTTCAGGGGTCGCGACCCACAGGTTGAGAACCGCTGATTTAGAGGAATACTTTAACCAACATTTTGAAAGTTAAACATTTTTTCCCTTAATGCTTTTTCTTAGTGCTTTCATAAAAAAATATTATGATACTCTAAATGAAAATGATATAATTCTACCTTAATGAAGTAATTTTTGATAGTTTCTCTTGTATGGGTAGCAGACCAAGTCTGGACCTCACCTATGATTCTCTCACACATGTCAAGAGTTTGCTGGCCTTTTGTAAAGTGTGATTAGATTATAAAGAAAAAGTGTTGCTAGTCTTATGGATATCATTTATTGCAAAAGCTGAATTGTGACTAAGTTGAACTTCAGCATCATAAAATACTGCAAATAATTACCTGATTATTTTGTGATTTTGAAAAAAGAGAACTCTGGTCTAATTTTCTAAGTAGGTTTTAATGTAATACCCTTTTAAATGTGCACAAATGTGTACTGTATGTGTGCCTGTGTCAACCTCTCACACAGTGTGCAATATTTTGGTATCTATTTTTATGGTTTTATACTTTAAACTTTGTCACTTTTCTGCTTATCAACCACAGTCCCTTACATATAGAATCCAGCATATTTAAGAGTAGTTTTAGGGTTTGAAAGATTCAAATATCCTTTTTGAGCTTGGACACAAAAGAAAGTTTTTGATTCCTGCAACATATTAGTTTAGCTTTTTATTTTTTTCCCCCCAAATGAGCAAGAACACATCCCAGCAAATGAAAGCTGGTAATGTACATACAGAAACCACTTTTAGGTGATATGTCATATATAAGATGTAATCTAGTACACCATAAACCAAAAGGTTTTTGAGCTGTGAAATTTGAAGAATTTCCAGATTACATTAATTTCTTCATCAATCCCAACATGGTGTCCTTTTTCTCCTCTTATGTAATATGCAGTTTTCTTTTACGGAAGGTAAAAACAAATGCAATTTAATCAATAAAATATGAGGCTAATTATGACAACTTGGAAATTCAGTTAAGGCATGTTTTCAATGCAATTTTGGATTTTCATATTTTGAACACCTGCTGACTCTATACTGCAAATTAGTGAAATGTTGTATAATGACGGTTCACTGTACACCTGAGTTGTTTAAAATGTGGATTTACTTGGTCTAGATTGTGGAAAACCACACCGGGAAATGAGGATGAACCCCAAAGCGATTACGGCCCCACAGATGTTTGGTCGGCTCGACGTGGCCACGAACGACTGGACTGATGGGATATTTTCTACTCTTTGGAGGAAAACATTGAGAGCTAAGAAAGGTAGAAGATGAATTATAATACTATTTTTTGACATGTACTTCTAAGTAAAGTCCTTGGTGGCTCTTTAAAATTAGTAGAAAAACTGTGTTCTCCATATAATATCTTAGTCAAGGCTAAGAAGTCATAAATCTGTATAATATCTGTGAATGTTGAAATACTGTTGATTAGTGTATTTAAAACCTCTCTCATTCCTTCTCCCCCTTATTTTTTGGTTAAGAAGGGAATTATTTTCTTTTTGAAAAAAAATGTTCCTGTATTCCTCTGATATCTTAGAATAAAAAAGATAGAAAAAGTTGTTAAGGAAAATTGATAGTATTTAATAAAGTGATTTTACCATAACTATTTTCACTGAGTATTTTAAAAATGTTGTTCTTAGTTAAGTACAGCCTATTAACAAAAACCGAATTCTCCAATAAAATCATTGGAGGAAGTGGGCTTCTTTGGAGAGAAAATTGTGTATATACAAAATGAAGTCTATACTGAATTAATAAATTATTCAGATTATATATGTATAAGTATAATGTTTTTATTGATTTTAGAGAGAGAGGAAGGGAGAGGAAGAGATAGAAACATCCATCGATTGGCTGCCTCCTGCACACCCCCCTAATGGGGATTGAGTCTGAAAGCCAGGCATGTGCCCTGGGCCTGGAATTGAACCAGTGACCTCTTGGTGCAGGGGTTGACGCTCAACCAACTGAGCCACACCAGCCAGGAACAAATTATTCAGTCTAGGTGTTTGATTGCTATTTAAAGAGACTCATTAAGGGCTACATTTGTGTATGTATGCCCCGCCCCCCGCCCACACACACACCTTTGCTTGTATATTCTAGGGGAGCATATCTGGATAGTTCTTGATGGTCCAGTCGATGCCATCTGGATTGAAAATCTGAACTCTGTTTTGGATGATAACAAAACTCTAACCCTTGCCAATGGCGATCGGATTCCCATGGCTCCAAACTGCAAGATTATTTTTGAGCCTCATAACATTGACAATGCTTCTCCTGCTACCGTCTCAAGGAATGGAATGGTTTTCATGAGTTCTTCTATCCTGGATTGGAGTCCTATTCTGGAGGTATGATTGGAGTCTTTCCTTTGTGTAAAGACAAAGCGGATCCTTTAGTGTTGTTCAGGTAGAGTGCCTGCTGATTTTTCCGCAGACCGCAGGGTGTAATTGCACTTTAATGCTACCGTTTATGGGAGAACCTTGAATGCTCTGGGACATGCAAACCCTGATGGCCCCTTACAGGTTTCTTCAGTGCTCTTCTAATCACGGGAGATCTGTGATTTCCAACCCTTAGGTTGGGGAGTAATTGCAAGGCTCAGGTGAATCAATAACCCCACTGAACAGTGACTGAATAAATAACATTAAATTTTTTCACTTTGGGGATTCATGACATTTTAAAAAGGTATTCATTCACATAAAGTTTGGGAGCAGCCATCTTAGAATATTAACTTGAAGAGGACAATTTATTAAAATTGCATAGAAGGGATTTTTATTAGACTCAGGATTATAATATTTTAAGTTTTACTTGGAAATAATATTTCAGATAATTTCTCTTTAATGCATGATAAGGGATATTATTTTATTACTACCAATATATCCTAGAGTATATTACTGATAATTAGATTATAATTACATACTATAGTGTAAGGCAGAATGCTTATTAGATAAGCCATCTGTAAAACTTTTTTTTGACATTGTTAGTCAGATTATTTTCAGTTACATGTTTTGGAGATCATTTGGATAGAAAACTTATGAATTCATAATTTGGATGGTGTAGATGTTTATTTTATATTGCCATTAAATTTTTGTGCTTCTGTTTGTGTATGGGTATATCCTGACTTATAATAATGCATTTTCAGAATTTACACATCTTTGAGTTTTGAAAGGGTTTACATCTGGTAAAGTATGAAGATGTGAAGGAGGAGATTATATAGCAAAATGATACTGACATTGGTTATGTCACTAAAAATTCTTCTAAAGGTTTCAGATTTCACAAATACGTTATCCATTCATTAAGAAGAATACAGAACAAGTGTTCTCAACCCTGGTTTTGCAAAAATAGTCACCAATGACAGTTCTTATA